TCATACATCAAAATATTTATACATTAAACCATTTTTGAATTTATATTACTGATTTTTATAAACAAGTATTAATGATCAATTGTTATGTTACTAGATTTTAATTCCATAGAATTTTATCAACAAATATTAAAAATTAAGAGAATAAATTAAATAATAATTTCAGAGTTCACCGTGGCCAGCCACGGGGTAGGGCTTAGTTTCTACATTGTCGGTCATTTGAAATTTTGAGGATTTGTCGGAAGTTCTACAACATTTTGAAGATCTGTTCTTTTTAGTTACTCCTATTGGTCTAGAAGCTCATGCGGATGAAGTGGAGGAAAAAGGTGCTGATTTGTTCCCTAAGTACTCGACCAAGCACCATTTTCTCATGAGAAATGGGGTGTATGTATATAAAGAAGACCTTTCCGTAGAGGACCTTTACTAGAAGAAACGATTTATGAGTCTTGTAAAAGCCTGGGTTATCTCAAGGGCGGCATTCCGCGGGATAAGGCCGACTGAAAACGTCTGAAATGGTTCATCGATGCCTGTTTATCGGTAAAGGTCCGGTGCGGGGAAGAAAAAAAGTTTATTTTTGGCATGCTCTAGCATCTCTTGGCTTCTTTGCCTTCACTTTGCTTATTCATGATGTGTTTGTTTTGCTAATGATTGTGTGCATATTTTATGAAGGATGAGGTATAACTTGAGCTCTTAAGGCGGGGAATATGGCCAGCTAGAACTTAACCAATCCCTTCTACTACTTTGGAGCCTTCTGGGAGTGTTGCTGCTTTGAATGCTCTTCATCGGCCGCAGAGTTCTTCGCGGTCGGGCCCACGTTTTTCTAGAAAACACAGGGTTTCTCCTCCGAATAAGGATTACTCGTATCTGGCCAACCTATTCGGGTGTGCTCTGAATGAAGAATTGGCAACTCTGCCTCGATGCAATGGTCATTCGTCTGCTGCTTTGAATCTTGGTGGAGTCGGTCACTAAGGCGCTCTTGGTTTTACTAGCAACGTGAGGAAAAGCGTCGACTAGAAGAAATTGTTTGAAACCTGGCGCTTTAATGGGATATTTACATATAGGAAATACAAACAACTTTCACTTCTCTCATTGGGATAAGGGACAATGGCTATGAAGAATTAGGCTCTAGTTTTTGCTTGGGATAATTTATCATTTGCTCAAGCATGCCTTTCAGCATCTCAGAGGGGGCTAAAGTCTTTGTGCATTGAGAATTCTTCTTTGACTCAATGTTTGGCTCAGTATACGGCCGCCAGCCTTAAGGCACTTTCGTATTCTTTTGAAAATGTTTTATAGCCAGTGAAATACTTTCACCATCTTTACTTATCTCAAGGGAGCATATTTTGTCAAACCAATTCTCAAAGATGGGGAGATTGTCTCCTTGTTGGAGTAGTCTTGTCTACCTTTTTTTTTTCATTTTTTGTGTGTACTATGTACAAAGTAATTTGTAATGGAAGAATGTGTGTGTGTGTGTGTGTGTGCGCGCGCGCGCGTGTGTGTGTGTGTGTATATATATTTGGAATGCAATTCTTTTTTACCAGCAAGAGGTGTATTTACGTGATCTCGAATGAAGATTTTCATATTCCATGCGAACTTACAAGGTCTTCCCTAAAAGTTTATTGGACGTCACTACGGTCGTTCCGGACCAAAGGTCGGTTCCCCTTCCCTAGCCCAGGTTAAGAGAATCATTATTAGAAGAAATTTTTTGAGGGACTAAAATTGAACTATGGGATATTTCTGGGGACCCTTAGCATATTTAACGGGATGGACGAATACTGATGACGAAAAAAATTAAAAGGATCATTATTTGGAAGAATTTTTTTAGGGACTAAAATTGAAATATGAGATATTTCATTGGACCCTAGGCATATTTCACCCTATAAATTTTGAGGTGAAAATAAATCATAAGAACTAAATTGGTCTAGTGATAGGAGCCCCCTTATGCATGCTTAAGGTCATTGATTCAACGTCCATTGGTTGGAATCTTGATATGACAAGGATGAAATCCATGTTTTTAATAGGGGCATTTTCCAAATTCGCCCCATATGACAGGGGTGAAATGGGTATTAATCCAAATTTATATATTATTTCCAAAATTGATTTTACACGAGTATTATTATTTAGGTATGTTCCATTTTAGTTTATTAGATGAGTACTATTTATTTCTCCTCAAATATATTTAATTTAGTTTATTATTTACTTTCAATTTGTTATTAAAAAAATATTTTTATTTTTAATTTATTATTAATAAATATTAAAATATATTGAAATAAATATTAAAATATATTTACTTTCAGTTTAATATATTTAATTTAAGTTTATTATTTAATTTCGGTTTTTTAAATAATAAATATTAAAATATATTTAATATTTACTTTATTTACTTTCAATTTTTTTTAGTTGATTATAAAATATAACTTAATATTCAAAAATCTTTTACTAATATTTCTTTAATTACTAAAATAATTATTGTTTAATACTTTCTGTTTTATTCATACTTTCAATTTTATTAATGAAATTATATAACGTTTCTGAATACAAAATATATTTTATAATTTCATTCATATATTTTAATATTAATAATATATATTTTAATAGGAGATTCGACAAGTTCATGGCACGCATAAGTTTCATTAGAAGTCAGTTCGACCACTGTGTTTACTTTAGATTCCGACCTGGTAATTCATTTGTTATTTTGTTGCTTTATATGATGATATTCTCATAGCAAGCAACAGTATTGATGATGTAATGAGGGTGAAGGTTGAACTCAATAAGGAGTTCGACATGAAGGATCTGGGAGTTGCGTTCAAGATTTTTGGGGTTGACATCCGAAGAGATAGAAAGCAGTCGAAATTATGCTTATCTTAAAAGGCATACCTACGGAAGATTTTCGAAAAGTTTGGCATGTCAAATTCAAATTCTATTGTGACTCCAACAAGCCCTCAATTCAAGCTGAGTATAGATCAGTGTCCCAGTACTGATGTCCAAAAAGCTCATATGAATAACATTCCATATGCTAATATAGTGGGTTTTTTATGTATGTTATGGTCTGTACTAGACCCGACATAGCATATGCAGTAAGTCTTGTAAGCAGGTACATGGAGAATCCTGAAAAGGCTCATTGGCAAATATTGAAGTGGATTCTAAGGTACATAAATGGGTCTCTAAACAAAGTCTTAATTTATGGTGGAGCCTTGGGTGGAAATAGTAAAGCAACAATCGAAGGATATGTCGACTCAAATTATGCAGTTTGTATGGATTCTAGAAAATCTATTTCTGGATATGTGTTCACTATGTTTGGCACATCAATTAGTTGGAAAGCAACACTTCAAAAGGTTGTTTCCTTATCAACCACTGAAGCGGAATATATCGCCCTAACTGAAGCTGTGAAGCAAGCATTGTGGCTTGAAGGTTTTGCAAAGAAGCTGAAACTTCAAGGTCAAGTTGTCACTGTTAAATGTGATAGTCAAAGTGCAATACACATGTCGAAGAATTCAACTTATCATGAGCGAATCAAGCACATTGATATGCGGCTGCATTTCGTCAGAGGGGTAATTGAGCGCAGAGAAGTCCAAGTGCTGAAGGTTTCGACATATCATAATGTTGCTGATATGATCACCAAGACGCTGCCCAGTTGCGAGTTTTTCCACTATATGCAGTTGATAAAGCTGCATGAAGAATGCTAGTTTGTTTCTTCATGGTAGAGTTAGATCCAAGGCGAAGATTTGTAAGATATTAAATCGAACTCTAGTTAGCATGTCGTCGAAGTTTGCTCACATGCTGTTGTCGAAGACCTACATGCTGTAGTCGAATTGTGCTCTAGTACGTAGTTGTCGAATTAGGCCTTGTGTTAAGGATTCAATTGTTTAAGTTATCTTGTAATGGGTAATTGTTAAAAATCTCATTAGTTTAGTATGTTAGGTTTTATTATAAATAGCATACTAGTCTTTCATCTAAAGAGTGGTGTGACAAAATCTAATTAGGGTGAGAGAGTTATTTGTTATTTTTGAGTACTTGTAATATGTTTTATAGAGAAATTAAAGAATATCAGTTATAACCAATCCTTGTTTTTTCCTTAACCTTAATCTTTGCGTGGTTTTTGATCATAAAGAAACCGAATATATTGTTTTAAGAGATCCTAATTCACAACACAGTTTAAATCAATTTTAAATGGTAGGGTCTCAAAGTACAAAGTAAGAGTGATTTGGCTAGCAAGGGATTAGTACATTTGGAGATTTAAAAATGTCATTATTTTTAATGATGAATTAATAAATGTTGAAAGATATTGTCTTTAAATTAAAATGTTCACTTGAAATTGGCTTGCAATTAGTAATAAATAAAGAATTAAGTGTAATTTTTATAAGTGGTATAAACATCCTCTTGATTATCTTAAATAAGTCTATATGTATGTTTTGTCTATGTTTGATTGTCTTTTTGTATTTGAGTTAGAATATTTCTCATACTTTCATTTAAATTTAAAGTTGCTTAAATAAATTAATATCGTAAAATTTTTACACTAAAAAGATATTAATTAAATCTAATAGAAAAAATTTACGAAAAGTATTTAATGAATATTTAGTGACGATGTAAAATATTTTTACTCTCAACTAATAAAAATTAACCATTTTGTCAAGTAAATATACCTTTTTTTTTTTTAATGAATAGTTATTAAAACTATTTACAATTTATTATTGTTTACTTTTAAGTTTTAACTATCCCTGCTTTGTGTGTTGGGATGCTTCCTAGTAGCATGGTAGCGCCTGAATAGAAAGTCGGTTGCACGTTCAAAATCACACTCAATACATAAATCACCTTTCTCCCAACTATATATATCCGTTTTTTCAATCAACTTTGACAAACACAAATCTTATCCTCTTTTTTCTTCTTTCTTCTCCTCAAAACTCTACAACTTTTTGCCTCTTCTTTTTCCTTTTCCTCTTTCACATATTCAATTTCTAATTAAAAAAAAAAAAACTTCAGTTCAGTTACTATATATATTTATACTCATGGCTAACGCAGATGAAGTTTCAGCTCTTAAAAGCATCAAACTGCATCTTCTAGGTGAATTTTCACCACTTCCATCTCCAGTTTCACAACCTTGGAGCTTTGATTTTGATTTTCAATTTCAAACCAATCAATCAACTTCTGATTCTTCAATCTCTTTGGATCATTATTTCACTGAACTTTTCGAATTTGATTCCAAACCCCAAATAATCGAACCGGAAAGCCCCGAAGCCCTAACATCTCATGCTCAACGAACCGTAGAGACGAAACCACAACTGAAGCGAAAACCGTCGCTGGAAATCGCTCTCCCGAATAAAACCGAGTGGATCCAATTCAGAAAACCGGATCCGAAACCGGAAGCGGTTGTACAGAAGCCGGAAGTCGCTGAGAAACAGCACTACAGAGGAGTTAGACAGAGACCGTGGGGAAAATTCGCCGCCGAGATCCGAGACCCTAACAAACGCGGCTCAAGGCTTTGGCTTGGAACTTTTGAAACGGCTATCGAAGCCGCTAAAGCCTACGATCGAGCAGCTTTCAGGTTGCGCGGCTCTAAAGCGATTCTCAACTTTCCACTAGAAGTCAACGCCATGGTGGCGGCGGAGAACTCCGGCGAGAACAAAAAACGGTGCCGTGAAGAGGAAGAGGAAGATGTGGTGGAGGTGAAACCGGTGGTGAAAAAGGAGAAAACAATTGAATTCGATGTGAACTGTTTTAAAGAGATGCCGTTAACGCCGTCTGCGTGGACTGAATTTTGGGACGTTGATATTAAGGGGATGTTCGGTGTTCCACAGTTGTCGCCGTTATCTTCCTTTTGTTTTTCACCTCTTGTGGTTGTGTGAATTTTCTATTTTAGGGATCTTTTCTTATTACATCCTTATTAGGGATGACAAATGTATATTGCATCAAATTATTTCATTTATTCACTAAATGAGTTTATGTGCAGAAATCTAATAGAAATTTATCACTAGCCATATCACAATAATGATTTTTAAAATTTTAATTTGATTTGGCAAAATATAGGAGAATGATTAATTGTCAATATAAAATTAATATACATTGTCAATGTATATTTTTTTTCAAGAAATATTATTAAAAAATGAGCTCTCCACCATTTTCCCACAAATCTTCTTAAATAAACGCTTCAACTTTCAAAAGTCGAAGAATATTGTCTTTCAAACTTTCAACTTCCTTTTTTCACAAATCCTTTGATCACACATTAAATTAGTGCTGCAACTTTTAACTTCAACTTTCAAATACATTTACGAATTTTAAAAATTTTCAATGTTTTACCATACACATTTCAATTTCAAATACATGTCATATAGTGGCAAAACAAGCTCACTTTGTTGGACATTTTCGTTTTCTCTGCATTTTTTTCACAAGGCAGAACAAAATTTTAGACTCGCACACTCTAATATGAAGTGATCCCTGCATTATTATAAATTTTTGCAATGTTTAAGTTTAAAAGGTGAAGGGTTTGCAGGCCCGTCTCACCCTTATTTTTTTCCAAGACAAATCATAGTTTTAAGCCCACACTATACACAAAAGTCATCTTATCTCGCTCCATCATTTCTAGGCTTTTCTAAAGCAGACCTAAACAAGACGATTATGCTTGTTTGCCACCCTTAATATCATGCTTTCATACAAAATAGATGGGCATGTGAGAGAAAAGTCTTCTTTAAATGACCTTCCTTTCTTACATGACATCATTAATATTTCGTCTTATGTTGGTTCTATATTGTGGGTAGGTAGTTGTGATTATGTATGTGGTTTTGATGGTGACAAAAAATACAATGTGATATTGAACATCATCAAATTAGGAAAAAAATGAAGTTATAAAAAGGTTGAGTTAATAGAGTCTTGGTGTTGAGAACAAAGATAATCAAATAAAAAGATATAAATCAAAGGAATTGAAGTCTATAAAAGTTTTTCCTAATCTTATGTATTAGTGTAACTTTATCTGTTTATATTAATAATATGTAAATTAAGTGTGAGTAGCTCTCAAGATACTAAATAGTGCGTACATATACAAACACTCAAAATGATTTTATAATCTTTATCTATTCCAAACCCTTATTTAAAATGATTTATGACATTTATCTAATTGATTACGAAGTGTCTTGGTCAATCATAAAAGTAAAATATCACTCTCTAGTTTATTATAACTCGTATCTAATCTATTATGGATCGAGATTTTCACTTAATCGATCAAAATCCCTCTTAATCGATTAGACTCTAAATTTGACTAGTTTGTTTTCTAATTAGCTAAATCGATTAATGCTGCAAGTTAATCGATTAGAGAGTGCTCTAGGTCCATGAATTATTTATTTTCTTGGCCAATTTCTTATCCTATATATAAAGGAGTATTTTATTCATAACTAATCACAAAAAGTTAATTTTACACTATTACATCTCACACATTGTTCTGGCAATGTCAAAATCCCAATAAGGAAATTCACGTTTAGTACTACAAAGAAGGCCCAACAACCAACTCGATCCAAGGATAAATACCTTAATGTGTGTAAGGCATCAGGTACATTCATACTTTCCACCTTTCGCTATACCCTTTTTTGGACTCATTAACTGACTTAGGCGTTGGAGTACTAATCTTGTAGGTTCACCCCCTGATCCACTTCATCAGAGATTTGCAACACCACATTAAAGATCTAACAGCATAATCCAAGCATAATTCTAGTTTTGATCCCAAATTATGGCGTCGCTTGAGGGAATCAACCTTTGATTCTTGTGAATTTCCATGATAAGACCCTGTCTGATGCAAAAGCCGCATGATGTAACCCCAAAATAAGGGAAATGACATATGAATGGACTTCTTTCGTGTCTTTTGCCCAGCACCCCTCCTAATTCGTGGCATCAATGACACTAAAGAGAACCACCACACGAAGAGATGTCTCTACAGTCAAACTTCTATCGATCTACACAAACAGAACGACAAATGGAATTGATGACCCCGATGGTACGAGAGGTTCAACGAAACCCTCAACATGAAATCATCAAACCATAACTCTAATGGCTACAGAGGTCCTGGTAGTTTGGTGCATATTGGGATGGTCGGGGGGACGAGAACACGAACAAATAGTACGGGTTAATAGAAGAAGTCAACTTTGTTGGGAACATATTAATCTTACCTTTCATTAACACAAGAAAACAGACTCTCTTGAGCCGATCAAATAATGAACAGATAGGAGAACGACGCGTGTAGATTTCATCAATATACTTTCTGAGAAGTTGTCCCAACACCGTTGATAGAGCCGAGGCGACCATCTAACGACTTCAATAGTGAAAGTGGTGGCGACTGAAAGAGTCCAATTGAACATAAAATAGTTTGAAAGGTCATTCACATCACCCCAGTTCATCAAACGACATGCCCAAGAGTCCACCCAAACCAAGGATTCTAAATAATATTTAGACTAAGTACTTTATAGAAAGCATTCAGATTTTGAATCATCTTTATTATCATTATATATGAATAACAATATAATATTTCAAAATGGAAGTGTTACCCTGTATATTTGTAAAACATTGTTAAAGAAATAAAGCCTATTGTGTCATAGTTTATACACCCCTACCTTTAGAAGCTAGCCACTCCAATGGCGTAGTTGGTGGAGCCCAAAGAAGTCCACTTTAAAAAAATCTCAAACTTGGGGGCGGGAACGGAACCCACTCTTGGCCGGGGGACGATCCCTAGCGATTATGGATAATTATGCCAGTTTCCAATGAATGGGACAGGTAATGTGTGGAACCTTATTTTACAGGTTACTTCTAGGTGATATATACCTTTAATAAGGATAACTACTTTTATTGATGACAACTAGTTCTTAATGATGAAAGTTTTTAAAGATATTCCTTTGATAATAATAATAAGTAAGGTTAAGCATAAAGCAGTAAAGCGATTAAAGATGCAAACTCAAATATTAGGGTTATAAGGACATAACTCTATAATGGTGGAAACCAAATAGAATATAACTTAAGACACATCTCAAAGTAAAATCAAGCAAGTGTCTATAACGATGAAGTACCTGACAAGTCTTGAAGTATATAAAAGTATGCCTCGACATGTTTGAGTGAGTACATTGTGAAAGCATAAAAGCATTCTTGTAAAAATGCATGGCTAAATCACACATACACAAAATTGTTTTCAAACTTATTTTTATCAAGGAAAAACATTCAAAAATACCTTGAAGTTGTGCTAAATGAGTTAGGAGCTATCAGAAAAGTTATGGACAAATTTTTTTCTTTACCAATTGATTGGGTCAGTTCAAAAATTGTCCCTAAGCAATAAGAACAACATCTTAATGAGATACAATGTCTAAATATATTTACATACCATTTTTAATTTGTTAATCGGTTAATTTAGGCCCTACCAATTGATTAGTGCATGTTGCCAATCGATTGGCAAGTCATAAATGACCTAAAAACTTTTCTTTTTTTTATGTCAACCTCTAGCCTATAAATAGAAGACCTTTCCCACTTATTTTAACATAAAACAAAAGTGATTTCATTTCACACTTTTCATTCTCTCTTTAAAAAAAATTACTTTCTATCACTAAAAGTTTAGCCGAAGTGCTCTTCGAGAAAGTCATTTTGCGAGTAAAGAAGTTATAACTTTGGATGGGTAGTTTTGAAAATTCACCAAGGAAATTTATGTTTTTACCTTGGTTGAACATTTTATCCATTTAGGGATTGTTTGTTTGGGTTCAAGGCTAAACCGGTAAAAAGCTTTGGTTTGAGGATTGTATGATCAAGCCTCTGTATTAGGTTAAAAAGTTCAATCCATGATAAAAGCTTTCAATGTTCGAGATTACCTAGGAGGTAACTTCTTGTTCCACATGTTGCCTAAAATATATTTTGTTCATGTGTTGTTTCTACCAAATGCAGCCAACCCAAAAGGAACAATAATAGATTTGATATATGGCATGCTAGGTTTAAAATTTTTATTTAAAGTATAAATCATTAATTATGGGAAACTATAATCAATTGTGTGTTTATTCCTAACTACGTACCAAGTAAATGGAAAAGTATTGAATAAACCCAATTCCCTTTGGACCAAAAAGAAAAAGAGAAACTTTGAAATAGATTTCAAAACCAAGAGTTTTATGATAATGTCTCTAGATGATAGTAAATTTTTCTATGCTCTTCACTATCAATCCGCCAAGAAAATGTATGATACTCTTGAGATGATATTTGAAGTTTCTCCAAGTATTGAGCAAGAGGAGATGAACACACGAGATGAAGAAGAAGATACCACCTTTAATTTCTTTTCAAAGTTTAGAAATGTTAGAAAATTATATTTGAACATTTGTCGCTAATCAATATCTAAGATTTAAGAATTGGAAGTTTAACCCAATCCTTAAATCGAAAGATGGGAGGCTTCATGAATTTAAGGAAAAACCAAGAAAGAAATAGGTCATAGAGAAATTGAGTGAACTAGTTAAATTATTAAAAATGAAGAAAAAAACAATGAATCATCAACTTCATCATACTCCTATCATACAACTCCAGTATAATTTTTTGAAAGAACATACTCAATATTTGAACAATCTTCAGAAGATTCAACATCAAATGAAGGAATTTAATTATTAGCCTGAGATTTCTAGCTTAGCATTTCAATATGAATGTGTGATATAATATATATAAAAGTTATAGATAACCAAGTCATATTTTCGATATCAAGTAACAAACTCGATATGATAACTTTTTCGACAGATGTGGTTGGAAGACATAAAGACATTTTTGACAATAGTGGTAGTTTGAAGCAATTCAAGTGCCGAGCACACGTTGAAACAAATCAGAAGACGAAAGCCCGTGTAGTAGTATACGT